TGTCGTTATCCTGTTATTGACAGTGGAGGGTCGTGTGGGGTGGTTGGGCTGGTGGGGAGGGTAGGGGTGTGGGGTTTGGGAGGGGTGGGGGTGGGGTGTGGGGGGTAAGGGTTGTCGTGTGGGGTTTGGGAGGGGGGGGGTGGGCAAGCTGCAAATCTGATTGCGGAGCCGCTACGGAGTTGCCGGCAGAGCCGGTACACGGGCGTGGTGCCGAGCTGCAAAACCAGTACTCATGCCGGAGCTGTTTTATTTACACTGGCTGTGGCTCAATACTACTGGCGGAGCTGTTACAACTGATTCTAGTGGCGAAGCTGTTACGATGCCGAGTTGCGCAGCTAGTGGTGGAGCCACTCCCCATTTGCTGGCTGAGTACACTACCTTGGCGCCGCGCTTTCAGAAAAGTGGCAGAGCCGTTATCCTGTTACTGGCCATGGGGGTAGGGCGAGGGGGGATTTTTGGGTCTTTCTTGGCTGGGCGGGGCGGGGGGGTTGTCTTTGTTCGGGGGGGTGGGTGGGGAGTGGCGGTTGCCTTTCACGCATGCTTCTCGAAACAAGTCAAACGCCAGCAACATGCGACCATGAAGCTCTGCAACAAGATCTGTACCATCATCGCAGCCTCCCAAGGCCTCAAGGTCTTCTCTGAACCGCACCGCCCACAGATTGGCATGTGGCGTGAGCCCGCTTGCTTCATTTGTGGTAGGCCTGTTTTCAATCACAAATTTGCCAAAAACAGTTGCAAGGACGTCGAAACCCATCAAGCTGACAACCCCCACCCCCACCGGATGCGGGAGCCGTTATCCTGTTCTTGGTCTGGGTTGGTTTTTTTTTTGGAGGTTTCTTTTCGACGAGAAATGGGGGGGGCTTTGTTTGGGGGGGGAAGGGGGAGAGGGGGGGGGGAGGGGGGGGTGGAGGGTCGTCCGGCCACAAACGTCAGTAGTAACAACAATTAAAGGACCGGATAACCCCACATGACAGCGATACTCTGGTCAGCATCAAAGCAGTGCAAAACATAGTGGTTTGGATGCGTAAACATGCGTGCGCACTCCGCGTGGGTGTCCGCGCCGGTTGCGTGTGTTGTGCGTGTGCGTGTGCGTGACACGCACATGCACACGCACAACACACGCAACCGGCGCGGACGTGCGCGTGCGCGTGCGGGTGCGCGGGCATCTTGAGTGTCTTCTGAAAGCCATGCTTGTGTCATCTAGAAAAGAGGCAACCTATCTATCAGAAGTTGAAGGGCTCAGGCTGCCGAAACCCTGTGGCGAAGCGCCTTGCCTGGCCGGGGTCTCGCCCTTCTTGTCGGGTCCTCGAAAGGGTCGGGTTGTGGCGGTTGTGGTATGGGTGCTCGAGGGTTTAAGCTCTTGGGGCGGGCTGGAAGGCCTGATTTCCCAGGCGTGTGGACTGCATTCATTCTCGGTTTTCGTCATTTCAACCCGTACAAGTCGCAGGTTAATCGTGGAACCAGCGCCCCGAAAGCTTTGCTTCGCATCGGCGCCGTCCTGGAGCAATCACTCCGATGGACTGACCCTCAATGTAGGGAACCTTGCCATCGTGGTCGAAGGTGACCTGAGGCGCTAGCCGGGCTCAGGGTTCCGGGATGGATGTGCAGCGGAACTGGACGTCCGATCCTGGTTCCGCCTTAATCCTAAAGTCCTATAGAGCTGAGTAGCGTGTGTGGTCTCCCAGTTGGCATCGCCGGTGTCCTGCAGCAACGACAAACGCCTCCCAGACACAACAGCAGTTCGAAACCATTCCCCGTGGTCAACGGCCAGTGGCACCAGGCCTGGAAAACAGAGCCACGGCCTTTCTACCCTCCACTCTAACCTTTATTGCGTCTCCTCTGTCAACGTCTGCGGGTGCTTCTGGTTCGGCACGACCTCCACACAAACTGGAGCAAGAGTCGCCAACAGAACCAGCAGCAGGAGGATACGTTCAGCTGAGCCCAGTAGCAGTTCTCAAGACAAGGAAAACAAAACCCGAGCCCAGGCATAGTGACTTGTAAAGTTGTAGAGGCTGCTCGCCAAAGGCATTTTGCAGTCGCCATCGTCGTCGTCGTCATAGAAGAAGGCAGTAGAAGCAATAGTAGTAGTTGCAGCAGCAGCAGCAGCAGCAGTGGCAATAGCAGTCGTAGTCGCATTCGTTCGTCGTCGTTTTTGTCACCCAAATGGCACGCCAATGACAGCTCCGCAAGGACTTAAATGGCACCTAGTCACGAGGATATCCCATTTTGAGAGAAAACAGCGAAAACAAAAGGTAAGGCCAAACACTACACCGGGACATCCATCGATCTGAGTTCACTCTCTACACTCACTTCAGCTGGGGGCGGGCTTCGTCGTAGTAGTAGTAGTAGTAGTAGCAGCAACAGCAGCATAGTCGTGGTGCTGGTGGTGGTGGTCGTAGTGGTGGAAGTGGCAGAAGTAGGAATGAAATAAAAGTAGGAGCAGGAGCAGCAGCGGTGGCGGCAGCAATAGGAGTCGTCGCAGTAGCAAGAGCAAAATAGGAGCTCACGACCTATATAGCCGCTGGCATCCGAAGGCAGATCAAAGTTGTGCATCCATGGCCTAGTACCGGTCTCCAAATCACAGCAGCCTTACCGCGCCTTGGCCTGGTAGGGCGCCTTAGGCGTGAAGAGGTTCCACGGGATCTCCTTGCCATGAACCACCTGCATACGATCTTGGTTGCTACGATGTTGTGGGTCATGAGGACAGCATCATGGCAAGACATGGGCAAGGTGGCGCGTCGTCACTTCTGTGCGACAACGTTTGGGGCTGCGAGTGCACGAGTTCACTGGGTGAGGACAACTCGTCTTCCTAGCTGCATTCCGGTCAGGAACCCCCGAGACTCCTCCGAGTAACCCGAGTGGTTCCTCGTGTTCTTTGGGGTTTCCGTCCCTGCCTTCACACCCTTCTTCTTCACTGCTGCAGCCCTGCAGGCCGTGACAGCGGCCTGGCGCTTCCAAACATTCATCGCTGTGCCATCTCAGAGACCCAAAAAAGTCCATGAACCCTTGGAAACTCCGAGGCTGCGGCCGCAGCCACCCCAGCGCCCAGGAGTGCAGAAGGCGCCGCACTGCCGAAGGCGGCACCCTGGGGAGCCTGGCAGGGCTATAAAGCCACACAGAACATACTTGCTCCAAGACGTCTTTGTGGAATGTGGGGCTCAGTGCAAACAGTCGCGTTGTGGCAATACTTTCTTACCCATCCTGGGCTAACGCCACCATGGCCACCTCAAAGAAGAATGCCCGGCATTCGTTCTCAAAGCTGTGCCGTAGAACAACACCCTAAATTCGTTTACAACAGTTTTACAACCACATCTGCGCTTCCGTCTGGCCCTAGCCGAACCTGGGAGGCACCGCGCAGGGCCCGAGGGGCGCGTTGCTCTGGCGTCGTGCCTGTGGTCGGCTCATGCCGCAGCACAGTTTGTATCTGAACTCGTGTTTCACACGAAGGAGCCAAGAGCGCATGAAGCTTCTCGCAAGCAACACTCATCCGAAACTTCAGGTTGGCCTGGCGCCAAGAATGCACATCCACCCAGAGCGGCGGCGCCGAGCACAGCCTCTCGGTGACAGGAGACATCTTTCAAGCATGCCTGCACTACGAGAGTACTGCCTTACAAAAAAATGCGAGCTCCTACAAGTGCCGTTCATGCTGACATATGCTGACTTTTCATTCTGAGGCCTGAGGCAAGCTGTGAGGGCATGTCTGGACAGTCCGTTCCCATCCAATTCCCTGTCCCTATCTTCCCATCTCATAGCCACAGCGAACGCCCTCACTCCCCGCTTCCGAACCTCCAGCCCAGACTGCAAGGTTGGATGAGTGTTGTACCATCCATCGACTAATGAGACACAGAGAACCACCTGCAGCTTCTGCCAAGAGGCGGAGAGGCCGACGGGCTGAGACATGGCTCTTACGATGGATGCGTGCGATTCGAGGCTGAAAACTGCTCAAGGCAGAATAAGCGTGTTCATGCCGAAAGCGGCTTAGCCAATCCGAGACACTCCTAGTCCTAATCACCCGAATCGCAAGCACGGCCAGTGACCGAACTCCACGGAGCCCCTGCAATCCCTAGTCAAACGTCGGAAGAAATGCCACAGGCAATTCCCTGTTGAATCGAAGGAAACTGGGAAACTGAAAGCTGTTTCCTCATGGTTCTCTTGATTCTAGTGCTGCAGATACTCAGTATATACTATGTCAGTCCGCGGACTGTGGCACCCCAAACCCAGCTGGTGTCATAATTCTGCTGCTCTTGTTTCTTGTTGCTGTTAGAGTCGATGGCCTTGGCGTTGGCGCTGGTAGTTTCGGGGCAAAAGGAGGAGCCTCTTCCCTGCAAATGGCTTGGACTGCAAGAAAGAACGCTCCTCGACATGGAATTTTTGTCAAACAGGCTGTCTCGAAGGTTGCATGGTAGGAGCCAATCTGCGTTACGTCATCGTCCCCGTGGGTGCTCCACAACCAGCCCAGGGCCTAGGGGAAGTGTAAGGATTGCATCCTTTGTGGGAGTTCTTTTGCAACGTCCGCATGGGAGGACTTGTGTGCTGCATGTCCCGGCCCTCGACTTTGCCCCTGGAATGATTTCACATCTCAGAAACTCCCGGCAGGCAAGGACATGGCACAAGAGCCCCGAGAGAGCAGTAAACTTGTCTCTGAGAGACGGTTGGGGTCCATGATTTCTCCAATCGTTGCGAAAGCAACAGCAATGCAAGTGGATTGGGTTGCAAGCGATTGCCTGCTCCTTCGCCGGCTTCATGTCTCTAACATTGGAGAAACCACACGGTCGCTGGCATCACTTTTCAGATTCTGAAGGCGTGATCGCGACCGGGGAGAAATGCAAGCGGCATCGACAGCTTCAACATCCAGGCGCTTTGGACGACCTTGGTACCCTTCAAAGTCTAGGGCCTAAGCTGTAGATCCTTGGGTGGGCAACCCTGCGACCCCATAAGAACTGCCCCGATGCCATTAAATGCGCTAGGCAGAGTGGCGACGGCATCAGTCTCTGGTAGACTTAGTAGACCTCAACGTGGTAGCGGTCTGCTTTCTTCATCGCCTTGGCGAACTCCGCCCAGTCCTTCCAGGCTCTAGCGGATCTACGCTGCTTCTAGCCTCTCGAGTCGAGCTTCATGTTGCGCTGCGCCTAGACAACAAGCCCAGGTTTCTACGTTCACTTGACGCGAAGTCCGCAGCGAAGCGGAAGCACTCCTTGCCGTACTTCTCCGCGATCGGGGTGAAGCACTCTGCCATGCCAGACTCCATGCCCTTCAGGCCGCACCTTTGTGGAATCTCTTCTTCTCAATCCACGGCCCCAGGTTTTCAACCGGAAACCACTGGTTTGGGATTCAAGTTGTGCTTGGGGCATCGTTGCTGCCTTCATCGGATGCCAGCTGCTGGCAGGTCGTTCTATCGAGCATCTCACATCATCTCACTGCACCTAGGGCCTATGCCGATATCATCCGTGCTGCCGGAATGCATCTCTCTTGGGGAGACTGAGGTGTTGTAATGGAAGACACTAAAGCGTGGAGCATACTGCATATGCCGAAGGCACATGTAGATGTGGGTCTTCTCGTCCTGCATCAGCTCCCACAGCTCCTCGGCATACCTTGGGCAGCTTCGGGCTGCAATCGCGAGTGTAACCACAACACCACGCCTTCCGGTACATTGAACAGGAGTGAGCCCGGTGCACGCTCCAACTCGAGACGAAGCAAAGGCAAAATCGTGTCAAACCTCGGACAATAAAGCGTCCGATCTTGAAAGTGAAGCAGGCGGCTCAGCCATCTTGGTCTGGATGTACATCTTCTGTCCTGCAGCGTTCTTCTGTTCCCGGCTGATGGCATAGTCGTAGCGGAACTGGTCCGGATACTTGGAGATGTACTCCTGAATCACTCGCCGCTGATACATGACGCAGTCCGATGCATGTTCATCTGATCACTACGGCGCGGCCTTTTCTGGTGCTTTTTTTCAATGCTAACATCTCCCACAAGGCCATGTGCTTCAAAATTCAGCTCGCAAGGATTACGGCCGTGGAAGTCTCTGGAACTCGCTTTGGGGTTGCAAACACCTCGGACACCGAAGAAACCGAGAAACATTGCAGCTCACGCTCAGTGGAGACGGCTTCCGCACATGCCAGCCCAGTGCCCAGCCAACCTAACAGAACTAAGCCCACAAACTGAAAATGAACAAGCTCGGGCTCAGCTCCTGGTGCTCGTCGTCATAAAGCAAGGACTTGCTGTAGGGCACCTCGCGACGTGCCCACCCAAGGCACCGGACCATCAGAAAAGAGCCGTCGCGAGTTCTCAAGTTTTGCTCGAGCACGCTTCGAGCAAAATCTTGCACCCCAGGCCCTAAGCCCCAAACCGCCATCCCATTCGCAAACCGAGGAATGGCTCTCAGGGACCCTACTACGGCGACCCTTTTCCAAGGAAGCAGGCATTGCCGAGGCACACCCATGAAGAGCCAAGCCAGGCCCTTGAACTTCCGTCCGTCGCCCTCCGCAGCCACCTTTTTGCTTCTGGGATTTTTGAGCTTCGGGCAGACTGCTTAAGCCATTGAAAGGGGTTCCAACCTGAGCCGCTTCCGGCTGACGGTCTAAGAGCATGAAAGACTGTGTCAGAACACCAAAGCGTTGACGCCGGGACTTGGAAGTAGGGGTAATGTGAGGGCTTCGAGTGGCAACTTCGGAGGGTGAGGCCGGGTGTTAACAACCATGATCAACCATGTAAGCATTGCAACAAGGAGATGGTCTGGACAAGGGCAGTTCCTGGTGCAAGCCCAAAGCCGAAGCAACTGGAGCCGCGCGAGCAATCGGGGATGTCCAACCCACTTCCAACCCCATCACACGCTGGAAATCCTTCGCACTGTATTTCCAGGACAGCCAGGGCACCTTGTCGTTGAAGAGGTAGCGGCAGTATGCACGCATGGGGGCAATGCCAGTGCCTGCCAGGAAGTGTCCCTACTTGCCAGCATTCTAGGTAGCATACCACAGCATCCCGGAACCAATCGAGTCATCGTGGTCCTTGGAACATAAGCGACGAGCGATGCACAAACTGTGCGGCAAACCAGACACGGCAGCTTGACTGCCCATCGCACGCAAAAGCACCACACAGAAATCAGAAAGTCGTGCAAAACGCGGGGCCGCCGAATCTTCGAGGCCCCTGTCCAAATCCTTCCCACTCAAGGCCTGTGGCCAGCATGACAATGTTCGCCTCCGGATCCTGCGGAAGTGCAGGGGGCAAGTGTTGCTCAAAACACATGCTGCCGTGCCAGAATCCTGGCAACGCTTCGTCCGGGATTCCGACCGTGTGTTTCTGAAAGCATAAAGCACCCTAAGGACTTCAATGCCGGCCAGGCCAATCTGCGCGTAGGCCAGCCCCCAATACGAACAACATATACTTGGATTTTTGCTGTGTGCATCCTCTTGTTACAAATTCTCGAAACTAAAAAGCTGAAAGACTATATAAGATAATGCACGACAACTTCCGCGCCACAAACGGCTTAATAAACTTGCCTCGTGTTTCAAACATGCAACCAATAGCAGGTTTGATCAAACAGTGGGGAAAAGTTGACAACACCGGGCACGCCCCTCTCACAGGTGAGCTCGTGTGCAACAGTGCTTGTTGTGTGACATATCACGACCGCCTTCACGAGTTTGGTCATCTAAGAAGCACCCTTGCAGTGCACGGCTCGTTGATGCTGATGAGTCTACATTGGCGTAGAGCAAAACTTGACAGAACCTCTGAGGACAATCTATGCTCTGGCGCTGACGGGTAAGCAGCGTTCACGAAAAATGCTTCGTCAAGCTGGGGCGTGCGTCTGCGTAACATGGTTCAGCTTGCTAGGACACCAAAGCATCGGCACCAGAACCATGCAATCATCAGAATCTTCAGAGCGACCACTAGAGTGTTCATGATAATGATGATGGTGAGGATGATGACGATGGCCACTCCCCCTCCACCGCTCGCGCTCCCCAACTAGCCAAAAATTCTTCAAATCTCGTGGGGTGGAGAGGGTGGGTTCGTCGGGGAACGCAGAGCCGGAAGCAGCTTTGGCACATGCGTCGATTCGTCGGTTGTCCCTGCGCACATGAATGTGCTACGCGACAACCGACATCCCCGACGGAACGGAAGGCTGCGACGGACGAATCCTTCTTTTTGAATGGCATGAAAGCGCATTCGCGCCGGGTCCGTCGCCTTCGCCAGTGCACGGGGGACGCGTTCAGCTACCCGGCGCTCCCCACACGCCACCCTGCGCCGGCTTAGCTTAGCCGACTCATATATGGCAAGGTTCGTCAGCTCGTCGCCAGTTGAAGTCGGCGACGGCCCTCGCCAAGACTTTCAGGATGGACTCCGTCGGTGTGTGGACTCGTGTCCAGCTGGAGTGCTCCGCCAAAGAGAGGTCCCCTCTTGACACCGCGTCAGAGGCACCGCCCGGCGGAGATCCGAGAGCCACTCGCAGAGTGCCGCCGTCCACTCAAAAGCGGCCAGGGCGCCATTGACCGCTTGCCGTCTTTCCCATAGACCTTGGTCAGGGCCCATTGGCCGGCGACGTTGTCGATGAACGCCAGCCAGCGCTGTGGGAGTCTGCTCGACAGCGTGACCAGCGCCAGCACCTGCGCCAGGATCTCGAGCACATACATATATGAAGGCCCGTCAGGATGGGAAGAGCTCCAAGAAGTCCGCCGGGGCCGTGCCGCAGTCGTAGAAGACGGCGGCGCCGAGGCGGACCACACAGCCCCAGCCCTTCCTGCCCCAGGTGCAGGGCTTGAGTCGTCGGGCTTGATGTTCCGCATCCGCATCGGCTACCCCCTGATTGTTGGAATCTTGGTGGTTGCGGGCCTTGGCTTGTTAGTTGAAGTGCGAAAGCTGGCAGCAGTAGTTAGTCGCTGTGTGTTTATACACAGGCTGTGAATGAATGCATTCAAGACCCCAATGAAGAAAAGATCACAAAAACAAGAGTCGCTTGGGCTACGGACAAGAGTGATCAAGAAAAGATGCAAGGTTAGACTCTCCCCGGAGTCAAGAAAAGATGCAAGAAATTAGCTCGTCCATGAGTCGAGCCTGTTCCGGCCAGGGGCGGCCTTCTTCTCGTCCCTACCCCCTTTTCCAAGTACGGCGGCAACGGCACGCATCTTACCACCCCCCATGGGCCCCCCGGCATGCAGACTAGGCTGGGGCCCGACCATGCCCCTGCAGGAGTCGCGCAGGGCTCTGAGTGCCTCGAGGCAAGCGCCACAACAGGTGGCGGAGTGGCCACGGACCGACTGCGCCGTCGCAGGCGCCACGGCCCTCTTGTCGCGGTGCAGCTTCGAGCCAATCCACGTTGACCCCGTCTACGCTGGAATCAGGCTGAAGTTCAACGTCGTCGGGCTTGATGTTCACCTCCGTCGGAAAATGGCCGGCTTTGTGGCGCTCTTCTCCGGGCTGGGAAAAGGCGTCGGCGTAGATGACCGCCGACCAGCCTTGGCCTTGGCTTGATGTCCGCCAAGAGGGCCTGGAGCGACAGGAGGGCCGCCTTGAGGTCGATGGAGAGGTCGGGCGTACACTGCCGACTGGGCATGAACTTGTGTTCGCCGTGTGCGGCATCCTCGAATGGTTGCCAGGATCCGCCCGAGGCTCGAGGCGCGTGGGCGTCGGCTGGAGTACCACGCCATACCACGCCGGTGGCCTCGACGGTGATGAGAACACCTGGGCTGGTGCCGGCTCTCCGCCGGTGTCGCCCCCTGCGGCTGGCAGGAGTGGAAGCCCTCGCCGGTGACAGGGTTGGTTGTCGGGCAGCGCTCCTGCAGCGTCGGCTCCCTGGACTTCGCCTGCGGCGGCATCGGCTTGATGGGGATCGATGCACCGCCGGCCGCCTCCTGCTCAAAATGCGCCTGCAACTCGGCGGCGATGCGCCGCTTTCTCTCCTCCATTGTCGGGCCAGGCGCCGGCCGGGCTGCCAATCTTGACCGGCAAGGAATGGCAGGGAGGTGTAATGATACTGTTGCCGCCGTGAGATGCCGAGGTCGTAGGCCGTGGCAGTGTCGGCTCTGCACATATAGCCGACGGCGGCCCACGCATCCGGCGGGGCGCCTTTGTCCTCGCTGGAGGCAACTGCCTTCCGGAGGGTCTCGACGGTGCCAACCATGGCATCGGAGGGATCTAAACAAGCGCTGAAAATCGTCGAGCTGGAAGCAGCTTCGGCACATGTGTTGATTCGCCGGTTGTCCCTATGCACATGAATGTGCTACGCAACATCACCGCCTTTTAAGCCGAAAAGCCAACTTCTCTCCTGCAATCCTTGCGCACCTTGCGAACCCAAACAGCCGTGCCCCAGGCAAACTTGTGGTGGAACTCTTTGACAAAATGCACCCAGCCGTTCGACATAATCCTGTGCTTGTTTTGATCATTGGTCCAACCCCCTGCCTCGGGAAGCAGCATCTCCGCACCAGTAGGGCCGGTGATCATCACCTTGGTCGCTGGTCTTGGTCGCTGGTCGAATTTACAGGTTTCAGCTATAGGTTTCACACGGTTTCACCAGCACGCACGCACGGTGCTTGCCGAAGCAGCTGGCCGCTCTGAACTATCTTGATGATTCTTGTGGCCGTGTGACATCATCACCCACGCTCAAGTCGCAGATGTGATTGGAGCACACGCCACGGTAGACCTCCATGTGCTCTTGAAGCAAGGGCTGTGTCAGCTAATTCCCAAATAGTGCACAACAGCCGGTTGGGGCATGGCAGGAGAAGAACTTGGAAGCAAAAATGATCCTTGCACAGGGGCTTGAAGGCCGATTGATGGGCTGCCGTTTTCGTTGTTGCACAGCCCGGTCAGCTTGCCTTAGGCATGCGATTGATTTCGTGCACGAAACAACCTCTTGGTTACAGTTGTCGAAAGTCTTCTCAAATTTCCTGCTCCACGTTTCTA